ATGGTTTGGGTTGGAAGGGACCTTAAAATCCATCCAGTTCCACCCCCTGGCACGGGCAGGGACATCTTCCACCATCCCAAGTTCCTCCAAGCCCAACCCAACTGGCCTTGGGCACAACATGCATCCTCTGCTTTCCCAAATAATTGGGATTTCAGCTCAAAAAGCAAGAACAACCACAGAGCACTGCCCAGCTGGGGTTTAGGAGGTGTCACCAGCCCCATCAGAGCAGTTTGGGGTCAGACCTGGAGTGTCAGAGCCGGAATTCCAGCCTGGAAACCATCCCAGAGGCACCAACACCCCCAGAGGAGTGTCCTTGGGGACACTGGGAGAGGTGGCACGGAGGAGATGGAGCTCAGGGGGCACCAATGTCACCCCTGACCCTTCCTGGGCACTCAGCACCTCCAGAACTCCAGCAGGACCAGAGAAAAAAAACACCATAAAGCTGCAAACAGCCTGCACTAATTAAAAAAAAAAACTGCACTAATTTACCTGGTTTCTTAGGGAGAGAAGAGAGAAGATTTTTTTTTTTAACTTTTATTTTTTATGGGTTTGTGTTCTTTTTGGGGATGTCTGTCTGTATTGAATAATTTGCTACATTTGTAAAATGTAAGAGGTATATATAATATATGTAAAAAACCCTGTAATTGTTTTCTTTTCAAGATGTTTTTTCTTAAAAAGAGGAGAAAAAAAATATTTTTTCAGGAAAAAAAATCTTTGGAGGCGTCTGGCTCCACCAAACCTTCCCAAGGGAGGCTCTGGATCCCTGCCCTGGCTTCTCTGCCTTTGGACACCTCCACTCTCCTCTCCTCCCACCCCACTGATGGTTGTTTATGCAAAATGTCCCTCACAAACAAACCCTCCCAGATCTGCCCTTGCAAGTGATCCATGAACTTCAGAGTATCTCCAATCCCTGCCAGAACCAGGGAAGGGCTGGAATTTGTGCAAAGAAATCAGAATGAGGAGAAAAAAAGCCTTGCTTGGATCTGTTTAAACCTTGCACCCAGCCCAGCCTTTCTCTGCTTCTGTTTGTGTTCCTTAAACTCACTCACAGGGTCATGTTTGGGTTGGAAAAGACCTTAAGGATCATCCCATTCCAACCTGGCCATGAGCAGGGACACCTTCCATCATCCCAGGTTGCTCCAACCTGGCCTTGGACACTTCCAGGGATCCAGGGGCAGCCACAGCTTCTCTGGGAAATCCATTCCAGGGCCTCCCCACCCTCCAAGCCAGGAATTCCTTCCCAATATCCCATCTAATCCTTCCCAGTGGGAAGCCATTCTCCTTTATCCTGTCCTTCCACCCCTCATCCAAAGTCCCCCTCCAGCTCTCCTGGAGCCTCTTTAGGCACTGAAAGGCTGCAACAAGGTCTCCCTGGAGCTTCCTCTCCTTGAAAAACCCAGAACATTCCCAGGAATTGTGCCCAGTACCATTAAGAACGATCCTAAATGAAGAACTCCCTAATTTTTCCACCTCTCTTCAGCGCTTGGGGCCTTTTCCCAAGGCAGAGCAGTCGGAAGCTTCTGGTGCTGCACCAAACCCTCCAGGGGCCCTTGGAGGACAAATGAGAAGCTCCACAGAGTCTCCAGCGCTTCCCAACCTCTGATCATCATTCCAAGAGGCCACAATTCAACCCCCCAGGTCCTCTGCTGACCCGCAGAGCCGGGCAGGAGCTCCGACCAAACTCTTTCACAAGAAAAATTCCTGTTTGCTGAGCCCAAAGCACTTTGCATGAGCCCTCTCCAACCCCACAGGAATGTAAACAATGCCCGAGCAGGTCAGGCCTGTGGGCCAGCTGGGCTGGCAGTAAATCCCAGAGCTCTTATTTAACAAACAAACACGAGCTGGGCCACTCTCTGAACTCCTTTCTCCTGGAATTCCCTCACCGACCAACCGCGGCGTTCGGGATCCCCAAAGCTCCAACCCTATTCCTCGTGTCTCCCTACGGAGGGAATTTATCCCTGAATTTCTCTCATCCCTCTCAAAATTCATTGCTTAGCCGAATGCAGGGTTCTTTGAAGGACAATTCCTCCTGGTTTCCTTGGAGATCCTCCACAAATCCCATCTTGCAGCTCGTTGGGAATTGAAGTCCTTACAGAAGGAATATCGAAATTCCCAAGCTCAGAGAGCAGCTGCAAGTTCTAGGAAGCTTCTAGGCATAGGAAACTTCCACCAAGAGACACAACCTTTGGGTCAGACCCAAATTAAACTCAGCTCAAGCTTAAAACCAGCCCCTCCCGTGACCTGCAGCTCCTCCTCTTTCAGCTCCAATCACGGGATTGTTTGTTATTTTTAAAAAGCCTTCAATTGGTTGCTTTTCCCCCCCATAATCGACCTGGACTTTTCCCCGAGCACCTGGAATCTTCCGATCACCTCCCTCCCCCCGCAGAAACCCGGCGGAGCTAATCAGGAGCTAATCAGCCTCTCTCGCCCTAATTAGCGGGGGATCGATTTCTTTGTCGGGCGAGATGTGCAAGCCCAGGAGCGACACAAACACAAACACACACACATTGCCAGCCTTACTTCATCAGCCCTGAGCTGCCAGGTGAGGCTGGAAAATCCCTCTGGAAGCAGGAGCGAGCCCCAACAGCCGGAGGATCGGGCGGGAGAGACGCCGCGTGTGCACAGAAAACAGAGCCCGGGACAACTCGTGGGTCGCAGCTTTGCAGCAGCTCCTCTGCCTTGACCTCACACCCCCAAAATCATCCAACTCTGGGACGGGTTGGGTGGGAAGGGACCTTAAAATCCAGC